AATTACAGGACCCATTTTCTTAACACTAGGGATAAATGCAGCTGTTAGCAGCTGCTGCTTCTGTCTACAACTTAAACCATGATGACATATTATATTCTGAACTCCAGACTCTTATGACTGGACCTTCATTTGCTTAGAGAATATCACAAAGTAGGAGTAGTCCAAGGAGAGAAAAGGGGCTATCTGCCCTGGCCTTCCAAAACTAAATAGGTGAAAGCTCTCCAGCTTGGGAAAGAAAGAAAGAAAAAGGAGGAAAAAAAAAAAGGGGAAAAATAAGTGTGGAGGGTTGTTTTGACATCAGTAAAATCATGAGTGGTCTGGAAAAGCATAATAAGGGAAGTCAGTTACTTTCCGCAGCAAAGAGGTAGAAAGCACTCAACAGTAGATCAGCTGAAAGTAAATGGAAATACTCTTTAAAACATGTACAAAATTGTGGCATTCACTACTAGATGAATAAAATTAATTCATCAGAGCTGAGATACACTGTAAAAAATTTGGTCTATCAATGATTCTAAAACACAGTGGTACGAATAGTTTCTGGTTCAGGAAGTTCCTGTACAGATGACGACTAGAAGCTGGGATTATTTGTCCACCATGTTTTGTATGTCTTTTTCCTAAATATCTGATAGTGAAGTAAAATACCAAATTTGATATTCTTTTAATGTTTTCAGCATGCTATAAAGATTATAGCTGATTTAAAGAGTTTTTTTGAGCAGCCTGTGGAATATTTTCTAGATTAGTTCACAGTTCTGCTTATTAACAATTTAAAACATTTTGAAAATGTTTTTGTTGAAGCACAGATTCAGAATGTCACAATATTGCCTATACTACTTTCTCTTACTTTGCATAATATTACAGCAGCCACATTCTGTTTTATGTTCAGAATGCTGCACGCGTAGTGGATTGGTATGCAGAATATGAGAAAGTTGATAATTTATTTTTATATTATGACTGCACAAGTGTTAGACATAGGGGGCTGTTTGGTGTGAGAAGTCAGGATATAAGAAGTACAACTGTTGTGTGTAACAGATTGGGTTTGCAGGAAGGCTTTTGGGTTTTGTTTGGTTTTGGTTTGGTTTTATTTTTTGAAGTGACTTGCTGACTTTGGAATTTCATGTAGTGTGATATCATGAAAGGTAAATAGGCAGCATTTCAGGGAAGGTAGGGAGCGAAAAAGTCTCAAGGTATGTCAAGCCAGACATGCACGTCTGGCCATATAAAATTGCTGAACATTAAAAAGGCCAGGCTTGGGATAACTGACTGTGAAAGCAGAGTTAGTATGAAGAAAAGAGGGGAGAAAAAAATGCTTCCAAATGAAGATATGGGAAAAGCTGTTATATTCCTAGTTTATTAAAAACATTGGGTTGCACTTGCCATTTGCATCTCAAATTGAAATGATCTTTTTTTTCCTAGTAGTTGAACTGAAGTAGAGAAAGATTGCCCTGGAGATAAGTTGGAATAGTCTGGTAACTGGTTCTGTAGAAAATCGTGTGAGTTGCAGTTGCACCCAGGCTTTACAGTGAGCTCTAGTATGCCAGTCTTTATTTTAAGAAATTGAAAAATTCACAAGTCTTAGCACAAATAATGAACTTTATATGTTCCCCAGCTTCAGTTTCTTCAACATTCTGAACTGAAATTAGCAGTGTTGAACTGCTAGCCCTATACAGTTTGTGCTTTATCTTGTGAACTCAGGAGCCCCTTGAACTCTAATTTATCTGGCCTTGGTTGATCCTATGACTGAACTTTACTGTGACCAAAAGTTGTTTCTTCCCTTCTTTACTTCTGATCTTTGTAGTTCTGAAAGTCTGGATGTTTATATAAACACACTGTTTCAGTTAATTTTGCTTTTTTTGGAAGTCCAAAGGCTGGAAAATAGCCAACAAGTGAGGAAGAGAAGATGCTTTTATCCTTCTCAATCCTGTTTTGTGTATGTGTTGACACTGGGCATACATGCAGGCATTAATTGTAGGAATTTTCCTGTACTGATAGCACTATAAGTCTGGCCCAAATACCACTCCTTCTGTAAGGGGTGCACACAGCTATAAAAAGATGCAGGTTGTGTTTTCCCCTTATGGTTTGGCTGAGTTTGAGATGATCCCTGCTTTTGTTTGGAATTTGTTCTGTACCGTAAGTTTGGGTTTGGTTGGTCGTTGGTTTTTGTTTGGTTGTTTTTTTAATTCCTCTTTGGCTAGGCTCCTTCAACGTGTTTGGGGACCATTATTTAGGAGAACTTATTTAAGTCTGGCGTCAGTTCTGGGATGGCAGTCAGTCAGGCTTCTACCCTCCCCCCAGGTTGAGTGGCCTGATCTTTCTTAGTCATCCTTCTTTTGATGTGTTTGAAAAACTTTTAGCTTTTAGTTTTAACAAGTTACTGTTTCTTGCTTTGGCTTGCCATCTTATGGCTATGTTTTAACTTGTCTGTCTTCTCTGTTTCCCTTGAGAGAACATGTTTGGTTTTTTTAAAAAAAAAAGTCTTTTTATTCTAATTGCCACCTTTAATCAGTTGCCGAGTTATACTGGCTTTTTTTTTTTGTCCTTTCAGAACCTTTCTTGATAAGTGTCTTGTAACTTCACCTGATTCCCTAATACGGTGTGTTGTTTTGTACCACAAATGAACACTTTAGCCTTTCAGTTTCTTCTTTTAACTTATTTTTAACCAGCTTCCCCTTTTCTGTGTAGTTGCTCTATGCTTCAGCTGATCACCCATAAGTTCCTGTATTTCTGTTGTGTGCTATACCTGCTGTTGCCTTAAGATCTGATGAAATTTGGTGTAATATGCCTGGCTGGGTAAGACCTTTGGTTATTACCACATTCTTTTATGTAAGCCACTTTGGATAGTACTGCTTGTAGTATGTTCTTGCTGAACTCCTAGGAGTTGAGCTATTTCACTGACAGTTGACAGGGAAGTTTATAAGGGTGATCTAGTGCGCACACAGTACAAAAGAAGGGAATAGGAAGTAATCTAAACTAGCAGGATAGACTTTCCTCCTTTCATCCACCCCTTTTTCTTCTTCCAAGGAAAATTCATTTTGTATTGTATAATAACAATTATTTCATATTGTATAATACAATGCTATATTGAATACTATATAATATAAGTATTGACAAGACCTGCAATACCTGATCTCTAAGTCAGGTGGAATTTGGAAATGGATTTAAATCCCCACAGCATGAGTTCTTCATCTGGATTTTACGCAACATTCATTACTATGTTAACCATAAGTCTATGGGATGAAATATGGTATCACAAGAACCTCTCATCCATTCCATTAAGGTGGTTTACTGATTTGCAAATACTACTAGGGCACTCTTCATAGGAGGAGTAGAGTGATGAAACAGGAACAGATCAAAAAGTGAAAAATTTGGAGGAACTGAATTTAATTGCTTAGGATCACCCATATAAGGCAATCTAGCCTTCAACAGTCTGAGGATTTTAAGATTGCTTTTCTATGTACCTGTATCTTTTTGGTTTAGTTGGCTTTTTCCTTTTGTTTCTCCCTGTTTGTTGTTTCTTCTTGCAAGGGGGAGGCTGTTCATCCAAAATCACTACCCTGTATGTACTTGTTTTATTCATAAGTAGCTTATGAATAATACCTATTTTTTTAACATATTTGGTACTTTTGAGCTTGAATATCTGTTAGTGAGGTGTTCTTCCTGAATATTTGATTTTCTCAGCCTTAGAGAGAAGAGAGAAACCCTGATCAGTAGTTTTAATGCTAAGTGCATGTCTTAATAATGTATTAGAATTCCTGAAGTTTGACAATTAATTGGTGGATAAAAGGGAACTGGCTGATGTTATTTACATTGACATTCTAAGGCCTTTTAACGAGATTCTAGGGAAGAGGCTACTTAACAGAAATTAAGTGGTTATAGCATGACAGGTAACTGCCATTACAGATCAAACTGTCTATAATAAAGCGTAGAATTGAATGCAGAGTTTTCATCAAAGCCAAAATGACTGTGGCACGCCTCGGTGTTTTGTATGTCTTGCCATTACTGTATATTAATTTCACAGATGGAAAAGGTTGTTAGTAGTAAGGTAGAAAAATCTGTAGATGAAAAGGATGAAGGTAAGTCAAGAAAAAAACTTTGTGAAGATTTCATCAAACTAGAAAAGGCTGCACAAAGGAGATAATGTTCCGTACTAATATAAGTAAAATCAAGTATAATGGAAAACAAGGCAGATGAGTAACTCATATGCTGTAGTGTTTGCTTTCTAAATTGCGTCTTATGTTTGTACACTGAATTCTTAAAGGCCTCTTCCAAAATGAAGTGTCTTTCTCTCAACTTTGGCACAGCAAATGCAGGGCAACTACAGTATAAGGATTTCCTTGAAGTATCTTTTGGTGCTGCTATTACTACAGAGCATCAAGTTAGAAGTAAAGCAAAAATGAGTACTTAATTGTTTGGCATATAAAAACTTGGGAGTATTTTTTCTTCTACCTTTCTTATGGCATACACTTAAAAATAACTTGTATTTGCTTCGAGTTTAACTCTACATGCTTTTATACTTTATGTTCTAGCCATTCTTTATAGAGAAATGTTGCCTGTTGTGTAATTTTAATATTATCTGAAGGTAATAGTTGTTCTCCTTAGGTGATTCTTGATTTATTAATATGTTAGGGTAGTAATAATAATATAAATCTTTAACATAATTCTTAATAAATATATGTGGTTTTGTTCTAAATTAATAATTTTTAAACCCTTATTATTCACTTTTATGAAAATATTAAGGAATTTGAAAGTCTATGCACTGCTTAATTTCTCACTTGTGTGCTTTTATATTTTCATGTACTTGTAAAGTCAAAATAGATGTTATGCAATGGGTAGAGTACCATATTTCATTCTTTTTATGTGAACTTTCTTTTATGGGCTCTTCCTTATAGTTCTTCAGAATAGAGCGCATAATTGTTACAGGATTTTTTGCTATTAAAAAAGTGATGATTCTGCTCAGTTTTCTTAGATTATCTTGCTTACTGTGTTTCTCTGGTTTATTCAAGGGCTTTGGGAGTTTCAGTGACAGACTATACATTTGAAGACTGTCAGCTAGCTTTGGCTGAAGGACAACTTCGTCTGCCTTCAGACACATGTCTTTTAGAGTTTGCAAAGCTTGTGAGAAGCCTTGGGTAAGCATATACAATATTTATATGTAAGATGCATTATTGTTATATATCTATATTTATATAGTTTTCCCTTCATATAACAATATTGGATTTATGAATATATATGGAATGTTGTCGTATTACAATTGGGGAAACACTAATATAAAATTAAACCAATACTGTTCTCCACTTGCACGCAGCACCCCTAGATCCTAATGAGTAGGGTAGGTTGTAAAATTCATATTTTCATAGTCTGACAAGTGAGCAGAATGTCTGAAGTGTTCGTTCATGAACAAAACTAGAAGACACCTCCTGAAGAGGGTCAGGAATACTGTGGGATTCCTAATGTTTGATACAGTTAAGAGTCAGTTGCCCTTTCCTGTGACATCTATGAAGGGAGAACAGTGCTGCCACAGCAGTCTTGTGACTGAATTAATGTTGTAATAGTGAGGGCAGAGGGGTCACCCTTTCCCAAGAAGCACAAAGAAGTGGTTGATCTTTTGAGTAGGTTATACTAGATGGACTTTCTAATGAAACTGTAGCTTAGCATATGCAATGTGGCTTCTCTCTTCTGATAGCTTCAGTTCCCTCTGGCTTTACCTTTCAGGAAAGCTTCAGCGAACAGTGAAAAAATACACATAAACCAAATAGTAGAACTTGTTGCTGCTGTTTTCCAATTTTTCTCCTGTTTCTCCTCTCATCCTATTAAACAACCACAAACTAAATTTACAGCCTCATCATATTAACTGCTTTAATATATAAACACCCTTTTCCATTTTTTTGTCTCCTCACCTGAAAGCATAGAGCAAAGGTTCATGTTTCCGTTCTGTACTTTATTTCCTTTCACTAATTTTTCCTTCATCTTCCAGCTTGTGTATATAAATGAAAAAAAGAAAGAGAAAGACCTATTGGAGAATAAGGAATGTAGGACAGCATACATTATGCATTCAGATGACAAGCATATATTAATTCATTGTTGGGACCTCCATCTGAAAAGACATCCAGTGGGATAGGATAGACTTCTAAGGGGAAACTAAGATTCTTGCTTTGTTCCAAAGGCTCTGAATTTACAGTACTAAGAAAAAAAGCAAACAAAACAAAAAAAAAACACCAACCCAAAAAACCACCCATGTCTCTTATTATGCAGTTGATAATCCTGGGATTCAGTCTAATCCTCTTGTTAAATTGTTTGGCTTCTGTGTCCTCAATTTAAAGCTGTTCTTTCAAATTATGCTTTTCTGGGTTTTTGTTTTGGCCTCTAAAACAATTACATGCACATTTGAGTGAGGTTCCCCATAACCCAAAAGTTCTCTGTCTGGTTTGAGCAATTGTACATTGGTGAAATATTATCCTGTCTTGATTTGGATATGTGCCAGTAAGGCGGCTATTACAATGGTATTTTTCTGGCACAATTGGATGAAGACTGTAAGATGACTTCATCTCTAATGCACGTTTGATGGTGATGCAGTCATTTTGCTGTTTATTCAAAGATTTTGAGGCCACGGAGGCATTAAGATCATCCAGTCACATCCCTAAATAACGGGAACAGTAAATTTTATCTAATGGATTTTGCATCCAGTCTTAATACTTGTTTTTGAGCAATAACATACCTTCAGGGTAACATCCAGTTTTAAATGCAAGGTTTTTATAGTAAGGCAAATCCAGACTTCTTTTTGGTTTAGATTCTTTGAAATCAAGTTATACCTCAGTTTGCTACACTGGAGCGTTATTTCTGTTCACATTGTGTATCTACAGGATTTATTAACATTGTAAAATTTGCTTAGTCTGTGCTCAGCTGGATGGGATCCAATCCGGAAGCCATGCAGCCACAGCAGCGAGTTCTCATGCTTCATCTAATGAAGAGCTTGGGCTCCGTTAACCCAGCTATACAGCTGCCAGGTCACTGCTGGCTGAAACTCAGTTGCCTCGTACTGAACTCTGTGGTAAAATGACTGCTGTATCAGTGAGATCAATTGATCACAGTCTCATCTTCTCAAATTCTGCATTCATTAGTCCTCAAGCAGTTATGCTTCTGTTGAGCCTGATAATCTATGTCTGACCAATGAGCTGATTACTAAGCTGTATGCAATCTTTATTGTAGCTTTCATAGATTATAAATCCTCTGCTTCATTTGATGATTTATTCCACAATTAATTACCCCACTGTTTAAAGTGATTCTTTGTTTGTACTTTGGATATATTACCATGTTTTAGACATCGAAGCTTGTTTGGATTTCGTGCCTTATTAAAGACCTCTTCGGATATCTTCCCCTTCAGAAAGTGTTAATACAGTATAATTAAGTCTCATCTCCACCTTTTTATGAGATAGTTTTTATGAGCTGCTTTAGGGTAGTTGCCTGCAAGGAGATCCTTAAGTTCTGATTTGAATTGATTTGTTCCTATTGTTTCAAACTTTAGGCATTCACTTTGCCCATGAACTAGGAGGACCTTCTAGCCTTAATTGTTGTTCCCCTTTCTTATGGAACCGTGGCTTTTAGGCCATCAGTAGCTCCTTAGAGAATTCCCAGTTTTCAGTCAAATGATTTTCTAATTTTTTTTTTAGTTGTGATTATTCTCAGTTTTAGTGTTTTATTTTCTGAAACTTAGAGATAACCCTCCTCTCTTCAAAAAAAAAAAAAAAAAAAAAAAGCCAAATGTAGCACATACTGCAATCCAAAGTAGAAATTTTTTAGTGACTGTGTTCTGCTTGATGACCTCTGTTAGATGAGGTCTTGATGTAACCTGAAATTTTGCTCAAGTAATTCTAGTGGTCCAGGCCTTTTACATCTTTCTGAGGAAAGTGGGGGAAAAAAAAAAAAAGAAAAAAAAAAGTATTGATAGCTTCATCAAACTTTGAGCCAGATTAAGGATCATGTTTGCTTATTCCATGCTAGATTTTTTTTTTAAACTGATCGCTTCTCTTGTCTCTTGCTTTTCTGTCTACCCTTCAATTTGTTAACATTCAGTACTCTGCTACTGCATTATTTACTTGCTTCCTGGTTTGCTTTTTTTTCCCCAAATCTTTCACTTTTAAAACTCCAGGTATGATTTGGAATATCTAGCAAGGGTGGATGTGTCTCACCTCCTTCTGTTTTAGTCACTGTTTTCTACTTCCTGATTTTTCTTATTCATTTGCAGTCTTATTGGCAAATATTCTTTAAAAATTAGAAAAAATACATGAAAAATCTTAAGTTTTTTTTTTTTGGAGGCTAGGCAGCACTTGTACAAGATGGCACCTTTTCTCTTCCAGTATGGTAGTTGGCTTCCACTTTGTGCATCAAAAAGCAATAAGTATAGAAAGTACAGGAAGAGCATAATATGGTATCATGGTGAATGTGCGTTTTATTGTTGGTATACTTGTGGCACAAGACCCTTTGGTTTGTCAGGTTCTTGATTTGGTGTATGCATTTAGTACACAGACTCTGAGGTTCTTTGTACTTTTCACTGAAGACAGTATGGCTTTGCTGATATGTCCACTTCTTTTAAAAGGTATGGTTTGCACCAAATCATCTTTTTCAGGTCAGATTTCAGAAAAAATCCTCTGTTCTTGCCTTCTAGATTTCTTAGCTTTCTCAGTAGGATTACTCTTAGTTGGTAATTCTTACCTTTAACAATGGGTAGCAATTTATTTTGGAATTCTTTTTGGATCCTTAACTATCTTTTGCTTTCCTGAGCCTGAGTATTACTGGTGTCTTGTACCCATGTAATGGTTACTAGTGATGTCTGCACTGGAAGAGTGTTTGCCAGCCTTAGCAAGCCTGCAAGGTTTACCTCCTTACACACTCCCTGGCCCTGGTGAAATTCAGTGTTATAAACCTGCTTGTGTTGTCTTTTAAAAGCCACCGTATTTTGGTAAGAATGGCCTGAATTAAACAGCAGTTCCATTTTGACCACTGCTCTCCAATATTACCTCATCCAGTTGGCCACAAGGATCCTACTAGGCAATGCCCCTATAGGCTCGTAAGATCTGCAAGGAGGAGATAATTACCTCATAGGCCTGTTGCCTGTCTATTCTTGCTCAACAGCCTTTACCATCCAGACTACATTGCAAACTTCTGCTGTCCACGTGTGCCTGAAATGGTGGTGCAGACTGTAGTTAGAGCTTTGCATCCCCAAAGTAATAACCCCTCACAGCTAACTAACAGTGCCATGACTTCAGAGTGCTCAGAGATCATCTATAACAAGAAAAAAACCCTGGAAGATGTTGTCCGTCTGCATTCATGATAAAAGCAATACTGTCCATTATAGGAGGTGGTCATAGATCAGGTTTAACATAACAAATACCAACCATGATAGACCCTGCCATGTGGATCAAGGCAGGGTGTCCCAGAGCATTCAGAAGGTCAGTTTTGCAGCTGTTCAGTATCCTTTCTCCATTATGACAAGAAGTTGCACAGAAGCACATCAGCAGACATAAAAATGAATGTATTGTGCTTTTCTGGCTTAGGGCATGTTTCTCTGAGCTTGCAGTTCACGGTAGCTAGCTACAAGATCCAGCTGTAAGACTCACTTCCGGCTTTGTGAGACACTAGAAATTTTTTGGTGGGTTCCCAGCATGCAAGAAAGGAGTTTGTTTTCAAATAGTCAAATGCAGCTAAAACTAGCTTTAAGGAGGTAAGACATCTCACTTGCTAAAAATAATGGTAATCATGCTGAAAATATCCTACCTTCAGGGATCTGGTTTTCCTTGTGAAGTCTGCTGTGAAGGATTTAATGTTCAGAGCTCTTAATCTTGAAAAACGTTCTTTCCATCTTCAGGGACTCAGGAATGACTTTTTGTTCTCTTTAGTGTGCACTGGCCTAAAAAGTGAAGCAAAACACCACAACAGCAAATAATGTTATGTATCGCAAAGCCTAGGTCCTGCATGGAAGCCATTAGGCAAACAAGCATGATTTCATGAGCAAAGACATCCACTGTTGGCTTTCTAGCTTTTACAGCCTCCTTTGGGATAAAAGTAACAATTTTAAAGGAATTGAGACATTCAAACCATTTCACATTGGTTCAGAACCTATTGTGGGATTTGGAACACATGGATTCAGAAGACTTCAGCATAGTAGGTCATGGTCATCCACACATCAATTACTTTCTGATTCTGAAAGGGCTGGAGGTAATGAGCCCACCTTGGATTACCAGAAGTACAATGCAGTCATATTCTAGCTGAAGCAGTAAGTTTGCCTCACTGACCTACATACTCTTTTTGAGATTGGCTCACATCTCTTCCTATATTTACAAAACCCGAACCATAAGATGTCTGTAAGATTTGTGGTAAGCCATGTTACTTTCTGTATAAGGTTTTGCCTTCAAACTTCTTAGCTTTTCGGACTTAATTGACTGGTGAAGAGGAGATCTCGCAAGTCTCGAATACTACTCACCAAACGAGTACTCCCTCAATTCTAGAAGGTGAATTTTGAGTCGATTCATTGCAAATCAAATCTCTTTGATTTAGAGACAGATGTTAGACTGCATAGTCTGTATCAGTGGGGGCTTATCTCAAGGGAGGATTCGGATGCCAGCTGTTCTCATCCTACAGTTAAAATCCATTTCGGCTACTACAGTAGGGGTGTATTATCTGTGGACACTTCTTATATGTAATCCTGCATGTGAGGAACTGAGTTCTGTGTGCATCTCAAGTCCTCCATGGATTCCTTTGTCGTTGTTCCTGCTATTTTTCTACTTGATCATGGAAAATGAATGTTTGCAGAGGAGTGTTTCACTGCTCTTTTTATACTGTCTAGGACCAAAACTTAAGATCGGTGCTTTAATGCCAGGACAGAGAACATATGAATGTTCTGTAGGGGCAATGGGTCTCTGGAAGAATTCTTGCATGTTTAGGTCTTATAATTCAGAAATACAGGGCTTGGCATTGTTTAGTTGGTACGTTTTTGGTAAGTCAGTTTAGGTAATGGCAGACAGCATAGTAGTTGTGTTTTTATTTAAAAGCAATGATTTTAGGAAGGGTCATTTCAGCAAGCAATCAAAGTCTGGAGCTGACGTATGAGAAAATCTTCCTACCAGAAATGCTCTTTATGTTTTTGCAGAAGCTCCTGAGAATGCTGATATTAAATATTTTATTCATTCTTGTCACTGAGCGGAAGCTGCTGAGGAGTCCCAGCTGCAGTCTGGGAACAATTCTGGTGTGAGCTTTTGAGTTCTGTAAATAACTGCTTTTCCTTGTCTGCAATAGCAAAATAGGCAACTGCAGAAGAATATTGTAGAAGGCTTTATTGGCTTCTTTCGTCTTTGGACAAGAAAGTTTGGATGCCCACGTTATCCTAAATCAATTCAGAGGAAACCTGCTGATCAAGATTTGGTTGATGTTGTATTAGGGAGGCAGTTTACTTTTCCCCACATACCTGCAGCACCATTTATTATATTCATAGTAAGACTTTTTTTCACAAAGCAAGAACAGGAAGCTTGACTTAGCAAAAAAAAAAAAAAAAAAAAAAAAAAAAAAAAAAAAAGAAAACAAACAAACAAAAATCAACAACCATGCAGTAGATATCTGCATAAATATAAAGCTGTTCATTCATCAGTCAAAATCTGGTTTTGCAATCAGAAGGACTGAGGGAGTTTCTGTAGCTGTATTAACTGCTATGACTTTGTTTGGGTCACCTCGTCATGGTGTCCAACTCTGGACTGAATGTGAAAAATGAGGACTGACAAACAGGATTAACAGTATAATCACTATTATGTAATCCCTGATTTCTTTTAGGCAAGATGCATCAGGTCTTTCCTGTTCAATGACATTAGTAAATTTGGAACCATAATTGGTTTATGTTACTGTCCTACAATACAGCCATATTCAGGTGACCTAAATCCTACCTAGTTCTCCATGCCTGGTATTTATTAGCTAGTTCTAGACTCTGTTCTAGACTTGTTAATGCTGAACTGCTTACACATACGGTTTATAATCAAGGTAGAAGAAAAGACACAAGTTTATGACCAGGGTTCCTAAGGCCTTGCAATAATTTCTAATACAGTTCAAGAACTAATGGGAGCCTTAAAATTACAGGAATACATTATTTTATAATAAAGTTGCTTAGTAATTCTGATTCCAGATTTTGTAATGTTTTACACCATTATCGTCATCCATTGCTTCATTTGGTATATTGAAATTTGTATTTTTAAAACTGGGTTTATTTTTAAAATGTGCAAAAATAATATGCTTTCTAGGCTGAAGCCAGAAACACTTGAGGATGATCTTGATAAATATGCTGCAAGTGCCATGAAAATGAAAAAAGAAAAGGTTGATCTTAAAGAATTTTCAGCGTACTTGGAATTTCCAGTTTCTCACACATTAGAAAGTATGTTTGGGCTTTTTGATGAGGTAAGAAACAACATCATGTTTAAAATTTGTACTACTTTTGGTAGACTGCGCTTTAGCCTAATTCTGTTCCAGTTGAATTCACTGAGGTCTGATTTGGGCCAGTGCTAAGTGCTTTTAAGCACTTCACCACAGTATTTGCATTTCCCTTTCAGCAAGGTAAGAGCACCTATCATCACCTAAATAAAGCATTCATTCAGGTAGAAGTTAAAAGGAGTATCAGTTGGACAAAACTGATTTTCTTTCTAGATACAAAATATGAAGAGGAAGAAAGATGGGTTCAGGCTAAACCTCTGCTGCTGCTTGTTGCAACTGAATGCAATGCCTATTAGCTGATATTTCACTTACCTTGTAAATAAATCATTTGTTCTTCTAGGATGCCTGAAACCGGAAGGACCTAGGAACTTGGCAAATGAGCCAGTTTTTCATTCCTCTGGCAATTGGTTAGAATGGGGAAATGACTATTATCTTTGTCTGGATGAGGTGCTGTTTGTACCAGGAGGTGGATATGTCCACAGTGGTCTCTCTTAGACCGAAGAGCAGATGTCATGTATTCAGGGCTTAAATTAAGCTACCTTTCCCTCTGGTTCTCCAATTTTAATTTCAACCTGGTAATTCAGATGGTTTAACATAAAAATCTTAAATATGCAGTGAAGGGTGACAATAGCAGCACTGTCTTCCAAGAATCTTTGAATTATGATTTCTGACTGAGACTCTGAAAAGGGCCTGCAGAGCTTTTATGACCCGGGTTCTTGCCCTGACGTAATTCCATTTCAGTGAGACTTTTTTTGCACTGGCATATGTAATGATCTTTCTGAATATTCTTTAGCAACTGTTAGTTATTTATGAAAGTTTTCAGACAATTGCAGTATTTTGAGGTGAGGTTTTCCTTCACAGAATGAAGATGGCATAATTGACATTCGGGAATTTGTCATTGCCCTGTCAGTTGTTTGTAAGCCATCCAAAACTCTGGAAACAATTCAGTTGGCATTTCAGGTAAGCAGCATTTTCTTCCTCTATGTAGTTTACTTATTTTTGGAAATTATTGATTAGACTGCCATTAGACTTAACAGAAGCTTGTTCCACATGCCCTTTAATACTTAATTACATTCTAAAGTAATGTTAATGGAAAGTTAGATTAAGAGGTCATGTTCAGAGGGAATGCGCTGCAAGTTTAAGTTGCATAAAATTATGGAAGTTTGCAGTTTGAAATTGTTCTCTGTGGAACTCTGGTAGAATCCTTTTCAGTACATTGAGTCTCAAACCTGAAGTCCTTTGTATTGATTCTTCTAAACTAAAGGCTAATGAGTTCTGCTTACTACTTTTCTAATGTTTCAATCAAATCTTATTTTTTAAGTTAATAAAATATTTTAAAACTTTTCCTACATGTTAATAGACATTGATTTTTTTTTAATCTCATTTTATCTTCTTGATAAGAAGTCTTACCATGTTTCTGTGTTGGTCCTGCAGTTTCTGCCCAGACTTTATGCTTCCCAGAAGTGCTCCTGATCTTGTTCTAGCCTCAGTGGTTTGTTGTAGCATCAGCATAGATGGTTAATGCAGGCTTTTTGGGAAAGTTACAGCAGCAATACTTAATGTTTGCCATTCCGGTGGGTTTGTCTGACACCTTCATTTATTACTTTTTAATTAATTTCTTTTATATTGCTATTTCAACACGTAAACTCTGCTGCATCCTGCATCATCCTTTCCCTTTGCCTTGAACTCACATGGTCTGTAGTGTTACTGAAACTGAAGAGTGCTAACTCTTGATGCTGTCTTCACTAGTGAATGCATAGAGTTGAGAACATTCAATTGCATGGTACTACATGGCAGCCTTATTTTCCGAGTAGTTGTTTTCAGGTTCTTCAGCATACCTGTATTATTCTTTTAACTGTGTTTTGCTAAAGAAATGAGGCTCCTGTTTAGTGTTCACATCTATCATTCTTACCCTTTGGTGAGTATCAAACAAATTTGACAAAGGAGGAAGGAACAAAAATATTTAGTTCCTACAAATACTGGGGGGAAATCTGCCTCTAATAGCTGCTGTTACTGCTACTTCTGAGGGAAAAGCAGAAAGGTCTCTGCCCTTACTTATTCCATTTGATCTATATAATGGCATGAGAAATGGTCAGGTGATGTTTGGTCAGCTCTGTGTCTTCATACTAAAATGAACAAGCTTAAAGTATACTTGAAGGTGGCTTTTGGGCAGTATTTCAGTGAGATTTAGCTGTCATTGGTGCATAATGTGCAATATACTTTTACCATTTTAGAGGAAGAAAAGCTCAGATTGGGCTGTTATTTTCTCTTTGGAAGCACCTAAATTTAAGTTAATAGAACTGTTTCTTAGAAAATGTTTGTTCTTCACTATCTGCTCTGTTCTTCAACTCATAATAAATAATTTTGAGTTCCCTGATTAATTGCAAAATATAAAATTAACTGTAGAACTGCAAAGAAGTTCTGTGCCTGTATTAAGAAGGGGAAGCACTCAGCAAGGGGAAGCAGGTATGGCTCATTTTATCCTGCTAGTGATGATTGGAAGGGCTAAAAAAAGTCTCGAGCTGAGGAATTTTTGCTCACAATAGTCTAGAAAAAAGGGAAGGAGAACCTTTTTCTTTTTTTTAAAATCCTTTCTTCCCCCCTGTCCTGGGTTCATGTGCAGTAAGGTATTCACACAACTTATTGGGAGCCATTGAAGGATCTAGCTGGTTCATGAATGTGTGACTTTGAACAGGTGCTGTCCTCTGCTGTGTGCTACTTTTTGCAAAGCACTTTGTCATTTGTTTTCAGGGATAAAGTGCAACATTTCATGTAGCTGAACAAGTTTTCAAAGTGGAAGTGTTTAGAATATGGCTGAAGAATTTGACAAATGGGTGTTACTGAGCCACTAGAGTTCTAAAGCAGTGGGCAATTAAAAGAGGAGGAGGGATTATTGCAATCAAGTCTAAGAGCAGCACTCCAGTGTAAGTGCTACACATCCTCCCTTCCTAATTGCTAAGGAAACTAAAGGGTGTTGTAAATCTTGCCAATATGATGTTTGTGAGCCTTACCATCAAGTATCACCTTTTGACTACTTGATCTGTGAAAATATAGCGGGTTCTATTAAACAAGTGTCTTGTCCTTGCCCCTACTCCTTGTGAAACATGTGCATCTAGGTGCTAGAGAGGAAAAGGCAAGATTCCTGATTTTCATGGAACTTCAACTTTTTTATTCCACTGACTTTTTTTATTCCATTGAGGTGTGCTGTCTCGTGACAGCAACTTCTGCTTGTGTGAAAAATACATCCTTTTGCCTGTTTTGTTCAATCTCATCAGTTCCCACCTTCTCAGTGATGTTTCCAAAATAGCATTTTTTTACATGGTTCAATATTTGCACTGTTGTTGTGCTTGAAAATGAGACAAGGATATTTCAAAAACTCTTCTGTCTCAATTTCCATTGCACAGTCAAATTGAGTTATTTTAGAAAGTTTAATGAAGCTGTATGTTACAGATGTTTTGAAATGCTCAAGTCCTTTTTTCAGGGGAAAACACTGTACATATACAAAGGTAGAATGAGACTATGAACAATTATTTTTAGTTATCAATCTGCTCTCAGTAGTAAAGCTAATTCTTTCTGTGAGGAAACACTTTGCTTCAGGACTTAAGAATATGCAAATTATTATTTTCTAGAATAAGTATTTGTAGAAAATTATAGGCCCATCACTGTATGGGGTAGGATTCTCCTGATTAATACAACGCCGTTTAGATGTAGGCGTTTTATGCAAACTGGCTGGTCAAAGGAATCTTGACTTTTACATCTGACCAAGTGGAAATGGTATCTGCTTTAGGCTGACCTAAATACATCTCCTGATTCCACAGACTCTCTTGGAGTTTGGACACGTAGCTCAATGGACTAAAAAGTATTCTCGATTACATATCTGCAAAACATGTTAGTGTTTGTCCTGGTTTCAGCTGGGATAGAGTTAATTTTCTTCCTAGTACCTGGTATAGTGCTGTGTTTTGGATTTACGATTAAGAATAGTGTTAATAACACACTGATGTTTTAATTGTTGCTAAGTAGTGCTTACACTAAGTCAAGGACTTTTCAGCTTCTCGTGCTCAGCTGGCCAAGAAGGCTGGAGATGCACAAGAAGCTGGGAGGGGACACAGCCAGGACAGTGACCCAAACTGGCCAAAGGGATATTCCATACCATATGATGTCATGCTCAGTATATAAACTAGGGGAAAGCTGGCCGGGGGGCCGCTGCTCAGGGACTGGCCGGGCATCGGTCGGCGGGTGGTGAGCAATTGCATTGCGCATCACTTCTTTTGTATATTCTTCTATCATTATTATTATTATTTTCCATTCCTTTTCTGTCCTATTAAACTGTCTTTATCTCAACCCACGAATCTTACTGTTTTCCCCCAATTCTCTCACCCATACCACTGCAGGGGGAGAAGTAAGCGAACAGCTGTGTGGTGTTTAGCTGCCTGCCAGGTTAAACCCTGACAGTTAAACAGTGTTGTCTCTGAATATCACTGAAATTCCAGTGGTTAGGCATGTAAACATAGGGTTTTTTTCTGAATATAGCAACCTTTCTTTCTAAGTGTACACAGGTGAACTAATAATCAATGCTATCTTTTACCCAGACTGATCAGAAATCCGTAGTAGATCATACCAATCTGAGAGTGACTAAAAATTTCCAATGCCAAATTTTAATTTTGCATAACTTCTTAGTGTGGTGCTGCCTACAGGAGTTAGCATTCAGCTTTGCAATGATTTGTCTTGCTGTCTTGATTCATAGCTGTACCAATCAGAAAGTGGAACTATAGAAGAAGAGGATTTAGCTCATATTCTGAAGACTGCCATGGGTGTGTCACAGATTAATGTTACGCATCTTTTTAGAGCTGTAGATGAAGAAGAAAAAGGAGAGATTACATATGGTAAGTATTTTAAGTGGATCTGAACTGTCATAAAATGTCAAAGTTGTCTGAACTCATGTTGATATACAAACCAGTTATATTTTTATTCAACTTTACCGTTTTTAGTTGGCTTGTTGACTTTAATAATGATAAAAGTGCTGCAGACAAAGTAAATTTACATTTAAAAAAAAATATTTGAGTTTCACCTTCAATATCAAATGCCATGTTTACATGTTTTCAGAGGTTTTCCCTTCCACGTTAAGTCAGGAAATACCTGCATTAGCTCTTTCAGCATATTCTGTTCTGTGACTTCTATGTATGTGAATATGTATTTTTAAGAAAGCTATCTTAGCTCTGTCCTGTTCTTGTCTCTTACATCTGTTCCCCACTATTTCTGCCCTCCCAGAATATAGGAGGATATAAGACTTTCTACTCCTATGATAATTGCTCAGCCTGTTTAAAAATAAGTCACAAGTGTGGCGGGGGGGGAATAAGGGGGTATTAACGAGGCTGCTCAGTATGTAGTCTGTAATGCAGGTGATATGGAGGCGAGAAAGTTGCATTTGAAAAATTGTGAGATCTGGGTGAATAGATTATGCTGGGAATCAAAGTACTCGTGTTACTTCAGATTCTTCATCTTTTATGCAGTAAGGTTCTAAATTTAGTTGTATCATTTAAGTATGAACTGAGTTGTCGATAGCCAACATATCATGTATCTCCAGAAGTAGTTATCACATGCCCTGTTTTAGTGGTTTTCCTTGAGGATAATCAGTATGTATTTAATTTGTAAAAATCTTACAAATTAAGACATCAGTGTCAGTAAATCACGATTCCTACATTAGTAATTCCTACGTTTCAATCATAAAATATGTATGTAAAGCTTCAACTACAAAACTATTTTAGAGTTATTGGAATAAGAATCATTGCCACTGCCCTCCCCTTTTTTCCTGACTGC